GTCGTGTGTTGAAAAACAATGACGTTATCAATTAATTTCCATTAATTCTATATATATTTTTTGATCTCTCCTATAGCAGCTATATGATAGAGTTATCCGATTTCGATAAAATTTAAACCGAAATTCAATAGTTAGAAAACGTCATCTGGAAGAAATCAAATCGATCTGATCAAAAACAATTGAGTGAGAATTTTTTTTTTCAAGTCGGCTCGTTCCGTTTTATATATTGCGTGCAATAACTACACAACTTTTCGGAAAGTTTCAGCACGATAGCTTCAAAACTGAGAGACCAGTTTACATAGAAACAGACAGACGGACCGACGGACAGACGTACAGACGGATTTCGATTCAGATCGTGGTGCTGATCAAGAATATATATACTTTATGGGGTCTGAGGTACCTCCTTCATTGCGTTGCAAACTGCTGACTGAAATTATGATACCCTTTGCTCTGCAAGGGTATAAAAATCAAAAAAGAAACCGGTATGTCATTACCAAACAACCTAATATATATATAATAGAATTAACGGAAATAAAATCATATTATAGTTGTTTCTTATCAAAAAGTTACGATTTTTGAAATTTTTTAGTTTTTGAACGATTCTTAAATTTTTAATTAATTTTTATCAAAATCAGATAACTATATAACTTACTAAATTTAAACAGCTTCAAGTGCAAGCTGGTGACGTTTTGTCGGGTTAATCCGCATAATGTCACATATTCGCTAAGTGGAAATTCCTTAGAAAGAATAATTGTTGACGATCTTGGCGCCCTCTTGGACCCTAAACTTAAATTCTTTCTTCATATTTCGAAGATGGTTCATTAAGCTAGGGGAATGCTAGGGTTTATAAAACGATAGTCGAAAGACATTGAGGATCTTTACATTACCAAAACTTTATTCATATCGTTGGTGCGGCCAATCGTTAAGTATGGGGCACTCATTTGGAGTCCTCAACACGGAGTACACGCTGATCGTATAGAATCAGTCCAAAAAAACAATTTTTGCCCTGGAAACCGGAATGCAAACCTATTTCTACCCTCCTATTCTAATAGATTGCTCCTCATTAAGTTGCCCTCCCTTACTAATCGTAGAACGATGCTTGGTACTGTGTTTATTTATAACCTTATACGTGGTGAAATTGACAGTCCTTACTTGTTGAGTAGACTAAATTTCTCGGTTCCAAGTACATTAACTAAAAACTATGTTCCTTTAGTTTTAAAACATTGTAAATCTATTTTTAACGTGCATGAGCCTTTCAGAGTAGTTTGTTCTGAATATAATAGACTGTTTCCTAAAGTATCTAATACTGACTCTCTGCACCTCCTAAAGCAATTAGTACTAACATTTCTGGCACAAATTAAATTTAAAATTTCTTTCGCTTGTAATTTTTTTCTCTTCTTTTAATATCACGTCCAAATTTCAGGGAATTGTGCCGTTCGATACACGGCTGTCGCCCCTTGGACGGATGGGCAGGTGGTAGGCCGTAGCACTACGCGCGAAAAAAAAATATTATATAGCTGCCATAGGAAAGATCGAAAAATCTATATAGAATTAACGGAAATAAAATGAGAACATTGTTGTTTCTCATCAGACAACCATGCTTTTTGGAATCAAGACTTTTTTAAAGTCTCCTGAATTTCGAATTAAATTTTATGAAAATTGGACGACTATTATACATTTAGCTGTCAAATGAACAATCGTTAGAAATATAAAACCTTAATAAAACAAGAAAGAAAGCTAGCTTTGGCAAGCCGATGCTTATATACCCTCGCAGTCATCAAAATTTTGATCATATTTAATTCGAAATTCGATGGAAGTTAAAAAAAACACTATCTATCTATCAATCTCTTGTATGGGAGCTATTTGATATAGGCGCCCGATCCGGCCCGGACTTATATAGGTTAAATAGGAAAAGTTTCAGCAACATAGCTTTAAAACTGAGAGACTTGTTAACATAAAAACAGTCAGGAGGACAGACGTATTTCGTATCGTGATGCTGATTAAGAATATATATACTTTATAGGGTCTTCACTGCGTTGCAAACTTCTGACTGAAATTATAATACCCTTTGCTCTGCAAGGGTATAAAAATCGATACAATTTCAATGTTGTTTGTTTGACATATTTGATAATTGCAAGGGTATATAAGCTTCGGCTTGCCAAAGCTAGCTTCCTTTCTTGTTACAACAAAATTTGATATATGTATTATATATGATGTATATATTTTGATAGCAAAAAAACAACCGAGAATGCAAAACAACTTTAACCTTCACATCTCTCACACCAAAAAAAAATTATTTACTTAAAATTTAATACAGATGTTCAAAACAAAAAAAAAAATCGATTATCGAAAATACGTTGCCCGGAAAATTTAAAAATTCACTTTACTTTTTAAATGTTTCGACCTTGTCCATGCGCGAAACAGGGAAACTCCAAGTTTATTTCACAAAATTTTGATCATCGCCAAGGCCTAGTTTTGGAAATTGTAAGCGTTTAAAACCGAATGGTAATCTGTTGGTATCATTTGTATTTCATTTTATGATTGTTTCCTCAATGACGTTATTCAATCTCCTTTTTAACTAGGGTTGTTGATAATATATCAAAATATCAATATATCGATATTTTTTTTGACAAAAATAAATATTTATATCATGACATTTTTTAACCTGATATATCAAATATCGCTAATTTTTTTTATATATTTTTGATATTTCCTAATTGGTCACTCTGATGTGATTACCCGGAAGCCAAGGAGATGAGCGCGCCAAAAATTTATTTTTATGTGGATTTGTGTGTATTTCCGCGAATTTTTGTGTTTGTACCAGAGCTCGCAAATAACAGTTGACCGTTTTCATCTAGTGCTCTCGGTGCGAGCACAACCGAAAAAGTTCATACTGTCTCGCTCTCGCTCTGAGCAAGAGCCCCTTGCTGTCATCATTTGTGTTTTCTGTTGAGCACTTTTCGTTGAGTTTTTTGCATTTCGGTCTTTTAATGAGCAGTGCGTAAGGAGCAGATCGAGAAACGCTCGCACAATGAGAGTCACCAAAAGACCGATTGACCGAAAAACTCAATGCAAACGGTCTTGGCATTTACACACACACGTTCAATTCACGAAGACGATTAATATATTTCGTCCGCAAAACCGATGTTTAACGATTTGCTTGCCTATACGTGCACTGTATACCAATACATATGCAAAAGACCTTTTGCTTCACTGAAAACGACAAAACGGTCCTGGAGCAACCAGAACAAAACCGAATAGAAAAAAAACGGTTTCGGTCTGAGCGCAACCGAACCCATTCACGCACCCATAAATCGGTCGTTCTCTGAGACTTTTCGTAAAGGGTCAGGAAAAGACTGTTATTAGCAGACAACGAGAAACGGTCGACTGTTATTTGCGAGCTCTGGTTTGTACACGAATTCCGTGTAATTGATCTGATTTGCTCTCGAGTTTTTTCCGCTAATTTCGTGTTAGTGATTTTGTTTTTAATTTTCTATAAATTACTTGTAATAGGAAAAAGGCAAAGTAAAATCAGGATAATATATAAATGTATGTATGTATTTAAAATAAAGCATTGAGCAACTGTGCAGCGAAAATCGTTAAAAAAAAAGAATTTTTGTTAAATTTTGGTTGATTAATAAAAATAAATATGTAAATTAAATAAATATCAAAAATACTTCATATATCGATATTTTTCCGAAATATTTAAAAAAATCACGATGATATTTTTCAAAAGTGGAAATATTATTGATACGATATTTTTGAAATATCATGCAACCCTATTTTTAACAATAAGGAATTTTCGGATCATAATGGAATGCAGCCTTTTTTTATGTCATGTTTGCTGTCGATTTCCTATGTCACTCACTTAATAACGCAATTCTGAAACAGAAATCGGTTAGGACGTGATCCACTAGGACAATCCATTAGGATTGGACTACTTTATCGTATACCTGCCATAGGATAAGGAAATAAATAGAAAACTCAACATGATGAATGCATCGAAAGAACAGCAAACCATAAAAAGAAATCTTGATTCGTTATTAAATAAACAGTCAAAAAACAAAAACAAAATATTTCAAAAGAAACAAAAACAAAACAAAATCTAAGACTATACATGCTTGACATAAAGTTTTTAATCATTTTAATTTAACATAGTTTTATTTTTCTGGGCAAAAGGCCTGCCTTAAGATTGTCCCTTGTGGTAGCCCGCCTGACCGTAGTTGTAATAATCCGATACCAGACGACTGCATTAATTGTCAAATCACTAGCGGAGTATTGCAAATACGGTCAGACGGGCCCAAAATTTGTAGTACCAATCGCATCTTTTATTGCTTATAGCAAAAAGACCTTGCTATATTTTCATTTTCCGCAAACGGATTTCGAAGTTTGGCACGATTTTAGTTTCCTGCGCGCCACGATTTGAGGACATATTTTGGGTCCAAAATAAACACAATAAACAAATTTTTTGAGGTAATTGTTATAAAAAAAAACCAAGCTATAAAGTTTTATAAAAAAAAACACAATTTATGTATTTCATTTTTTACGGTGTTTTGCACATGTAAGTCATTACCCATTTATGATAAACACCGGTTTAAACAATTTTTTTCCATAAACTTTATCTCGGTTTTTAGTAATTTTTATTGTAGTTTATAGTAGTAGTAGTTCAAACACTCGATATTCCAAAAGCATGCTTGTGTGATAAAAAAACAAAGGCGCTTTAATTCGTTTTCCATTAATTTTGTATAGATTTTCCTATGAAGCTATATGTCAATCGGTCCGGTCTGTTCCAACATACATATGTATATAGAAACGGACAGACTTATATGTATGTATATCGATTCAGATGGGGATGCTTAGAAATAACAAATATACATGTACATTTTTTCAGTGTATAAATGTTGCTATCGACAGTCGTATAGAAGTATAAAAGAAATACTGTGGTTTTTTTTTAAACATTCGCTAACACCCACAAATTAAACATTTTTATAAAAACTTACCGGGGTTTTCTAAAACTGCCGAAACATTTCTAAACAAAATTGGTCGATCCTCAACCGGAACATTAAGAACTCTGCCGGGCAAGTCTTTTAAAGCTCCAGATAACTAAATAATAAGAACGTTTACAAAAATAATTTGTCATTGTTTCAAAATATAACCTGTTCGTCCACCATGTTAATAAAACGTGCACCGCATGAAATATAGGAAACTACTGCGTGGCCGATAAATGTCTTTTGAACAAAAAAATCTAAAACACTTTTAATAATGTGCCTCCACCAACGTGAAGGTCTAAATAGCAGCACTGTCTTGACCTCAAAATGTAAATCCAATCCGTCCTTTTACAGTGAATTCTCACAGAGCACTTTTCACCATTGATTTACTGGATAATACACTCTTCCTACATGGTCAATCTGTTGATCAAAAATGAATTAAACATTATGGTCTATGGAGTCCTAATGAAGGGCACGAGGTAATTGTTTACAAGTGCGGTGCACGGTAAATACAGCGTAAAAAATTAAGTAAAATATGGAAACGATGTGTTTTTTTCTAAAACTTCGAAATCCGTTGGCGGAGAGTGAAAATTTTGCACCGTTTTTTGTTATTAACAATTAAAAATTCGATTTGTAGTACAAATTCGGATCTGAGTGACCGTATTTGCATGTGATGTGCCGATTATTGCACTCGTCTGGCGGCGGATTATTGCAAATACGGTCACTCTGATACGAATTTGTACTACAAATCGCATCTTTAATTGTTAATAACAAAAAAACGGTGCAAAATTTTCACACTCCGCCAACGGATTTCGAAGTTTTAGAAAAAACCACATCGTTTCCATATTTTACTTAATTTTTTTACGCTGGATTTACCGTGCACCGCACTTGTAAACATTTACCCAGGGAATGAAATTTTTCGATATATCGCACCGTTAACAAGATATCGAGCCTTAAATATCGGATTATGGTGCGCGAGTTACCACACACGCATCGCAGACTTACAGCTGTGTGCATATACGCCGATCTTAGAAACCTAAAGAAACCTCATCGACAACTACATGAAATCTGCCGACCATGTAAAATTCCATACTCCACTTTAATTTGTCAGCTATGCAGTTCCCATACCCCATTCCATTTCATTCTCATACATTCCTCTTGATTCCATAAGTTAGTTTTTAGTTTACAAAAGAATAAATGACCATTATATTTTTGACTGTGAACGAAGAAGGTTGTTTGAAGGTGAACATCATAACTCGTGAACGGATCATCTTAAAAATAAAAAAGTGATATGCGATATATATTTCTCGAAGTAAGCAGGAAGAACTTTTTTTTTAAAGTTTTTTGTCTATTTTTTGGAGCACTTGAAAGTGTAAAGTGCGATTAGAGCAAAAAAAAGGGCTTTTTTATTTTACATCTATCTCAACGACACAAATAATTTTTAATTTGTACTATCATTGCATAATTAGATTTGAATAAGAATTTGCCACCCTTGTAAATAAATAAAATCACGAGTAGGTTTAATTAATTTACGTATATATTTTGGAGCTGTAACTATTCATTTCGTGTTTTCGCAATATAATATGCGAACAATGTACGTACATATATATAGGCGAGATAATTATTATGCTTGACTGGGGGACAGCCGAAAGCGCGGCTTCTTTATAAAGTAATTTGTAAAAAAAAGCTTGGCTACATAGGTAACATAGCTGATAGATGAGATAACAAAGATAAATGAAAAACAATAAGCGTTTTTATTGCCGAGAAACGAAAAACTTGCGATTGCAGTGATTAATTCTTTTGCGATTGGTTTTATTTAAGTCGAAGACGAAACGAGATCGAGGCGAAAGTTACGCAGTGCGTACGACAGGGAGTTCAATTTTCAACTAACTTTTAATTCAATCAAATTCTCTTACATGCTAACCTACGATACTGAGCGGGAGAGCGGCGGCCGAATTCGCCTGAGCGATAAAGCTTTATTACGCCCCCCTCCCCGCTTTACATAGACAATACGAGAGAAATCTCCAAACACCGCCCCCTCTGAAGGGACGACGTCCTTCAGGACAACGTTGGAAGAAGCGCCAGCCGATGGATGGCTCGCCTGAAGGTTCCCTCTGCCGTCTTGATGTCCGCCACTCGGACCTTCCCGTCAGCGCCGACGTGCACCGCTACTACGCGCCCGATCCTCCACTGCTGGGGCGGCAGATTGTCCTCGCCGACGACGACGAGAGCTCCCACGACGACGTTTTGGACCTCCTGGTTCCACTTTTGCCTCGTCTGCAGGCTGGAGACGTACTCCCGGGACCATCGCTGCCAGAACCTGTGCCTGAGCGACGAGACACTGCGCCATCTTCGCAAGCAGGTCGGGCTGATCTGGTCCGGGAGTGCCGACGGTGGTGGAGCGACCAGCGGGCCGCCGATCAGGAGATGTCCGGGTGTTAGGGCTTCGCCGTCGCTGGGGTCGCTGCTTAGCGCTCCGATGGGCCTCGAGTTTAGCACCGCCTCCACGCTGGCGAGGAGAGTTCCGAGCTCCTCCGCGGTCAAGAGGTCGTGACCGACCGTCCGAAGGAACAGGTGCTTTGCAGACTTCACACCTTCTTCCCATAGACCGCCGAAGTGAGGTGCTCTGGGCGGTATGAACGCAAACTCGCATCCTTTTTTTGACGCGAATGCTTCGATACCGCCCCCCTGCTCCTCCAGACGGGCCCGGAACTCTTTCAGGTGCCGATCCGCGCCGACGAAGAATCCCGCGACGACTCACGAACCTTTGGAAAGCCAATAGAAATGCATCAGTGGTAAGGTCAGACACTAACTCTAAAGCTAGGTACACACGATGCAAACAATTTGCAGCAAGTTGATTGCTGCAACCAAATTTGCTCGTATAAACACGAGTGAAAACATTTTGCTGCAAACAAAGAACTTGCACAGTTTTTTTGCAGCAATATTTTTTGCTTGTCGTCTGTATACATTTTTTTACCGCCATCTTTATTGCATAATTCGCTTGCTTGTTTGCATGTGCTGTTTGCTTTCAATCGCAATATTGCAGCAAGCAAAGCAACATGTTGGATCGCGAGAACACGATTAAATTAATTGAATTATATGAGAATCATTCCGTTTTATGGGATGTCTCTTCTCAAGATTATAAAAACAAGCATAAGAAGCAAAATGCTCTTTGCGAAATTGCTGAAGAGTTAGGCAGAAATGATGACGAAATAAAAACAAAAATTCATAATTTCCGTGCTCAATTAGGGTACACCGGACAACTATACCAGAAAATAGGAGTTTTCCGATGCGCTCAAATTTATAAAAAATTAAATCAAAATAAAAATTAAATTAAAATAAAAAAGTTGTTAACATAGCAACAGCAGCAACTCTCGATTTTAGTGACGACATAATAACTTACACGTCGTTATTCTTTGACTTTTACAAAACAACAGAACTTGCAAATGAGCGCCACTTGCAAGCACTGCAAACAAAAAATAAAAACACGTGTAGACATTAACGCAATATATTGCACGAAATATCCATGCAAAAGTTTGCGTGCAAAATAAAAATTGATTGTAGCAAGAAAATTTCTTACAATATTTGCATAGGTTTAAACATTTGTGCAAACTTTTGCTGCAAATTATTTTCAACTTGCTGCAAATTGTTTGCATCGTGTGTACCTAGCTTAAGTGGACCGCTTTGGACGCAAAACACACAAACAAGGCCACATATGACTTGTACGGTGGTTTACCACGGATGCGATACGTTGTGCTAAATGGCCCACAAAAATCGACGCCACAGATATTAAAAGGACGGAGAGCTCGGAGTCTGTCTGATGGCAAGTTCCCCATAATTTGCGTCAAGAGCTGCGGCTTGCATCGAAAGCAGCGCATGCACGAACGAACTGTTCGGCGACATACGTCTTGAGCATTGACCAACCAGACTTTCTCTCGCAGGAGACTCACAAGAGCTCGAGGACCAGCGTGACAATTCGTAACGTGCAGATACGACACGTAGGTTTTAACAAACTGTGAGCTTTTTGTTAGCAACAACGGAAATTTGGCTTCGTACGGGATAGGAGCATTCAATAACCGACCACCAACTCGCAATAATGTCGAAGAGCACCAATCTGATTTATTTTCCTGCACAAAGGGATTTAGCTTTTGAATTTGCGTTGATACCGGTTTCTTTTTCCGAATTTTGCCTATGTCGTCACTGAATTCGTGAGATTGGATGACTTCTACAATTTTCTCGAACACAAAATTAAATTCTCTTGGCGTAATGCTTTTTTCGAAAGGCTGTAAAACTTTCTTACACCTCCGAATAAATCGGAGAACCCACACGAAAACTCTCAGCAGCTTCAGGTGCGACGAAAAGGACTCTATTTTCTGAAGCAAGTAGTTGGGTTCTGGTGTGACAACAAGAGTTAACGCCGACTTGCGTAACTCACTCGACACAACTTCTGAAGGGGGTTCGAAATGCTGATTTACAGGCCAACTACTTTCTGTGTCGAGTAAAAATGACGGCCCAGCGAACCAAATGGACGTTAAAAGATCTTCAACGTCAAATTGCATTCTCCGACCACTCTTGAATCTCAGCTACTCGGTTTGAGACGAAAACGGACAACGACGAAGGATGAGTTTTGATCCAATGCAGAGTGATCTCAGAGTCGGTCCATAGGACCACCTTTTTGATAGGGCAATTTAGTAATGGCCTTACACGATTAAGAAGATCTGCTAGAAGGTGAGCTGCACACAGCTCAAGGCGAGGCAAAGTTTTCGTCTTGAGGGGAGCTACTTTGGATTTGGCAGTCAGTAATGACACTTTTAAACCTTCAGCAGTTTGAGTGCGAACGTAGATGCACGCTCCATATGCTCGCATGGAAGCGTCAGCGAAACCGTGTATTTCAATCGGGACTTGCGGATCTGTATGAACGAATCGCGATACCTTGACTTTGGGCAGTTGCAGCAGAGTTGCTTTGAAGGCTTCCCACGACGTTTGTAGCTGCATCGGTAGCGACTCGTCCCAATCTAATTTTCGAAGCCACAGCTCCTGTAGAAGCATCTTTGCCTTCGTGACCAAAGGACACAACAGGCCCAGTGGATCGAAAAGTCTCGCAGTCACGGAGAGTATGTTTCGTTTTGTCGGACGAAGATCTTGGAAAGAGTCATCCAACCGAAATTGGAAGTAATCTTTACCAGGTAACCAAACCACTCCAAGGGTTTTAGTCACATCTGAGTCAGCCAATAATGGCATGATAGCGCTGTCAGATGCGGAGATCTCTGGGCAGTTCGAAAACCACTTTGCCAATTC